TTTTTTTTTTTCCTAAGATGGGGTTTCACCATGATGGCCAGGCTGGTCTCAACTCCTGACCTCAGGTGATCTACCCACCTCGGCCTCCCAAAGTGCTACGATTATAGGCGTGAGCCACCGTGCCCGGCCCAATGTCAGTCTTGAATATCAATAAATAAGTGCATCCACAGCATTGTGGTGAAGGAACTTTTGCTCCTTTATACTATACACTTCTCTGAATTGTTTCAATTTTTTACCATGAGCACATAGTTCTTTTACATTAAAAAGGCTAGTAAAGAGTCCAGCTTCCCTCCTCTAACTCATCTTTTTTTAAATTAAATTATTTATTTATTTTGAGATACAGTTTCACTCTGTCACCCAGGCTGCAGTGTGGTAGTGTGATCTTGGCTCACTGCAACCTCTGCCAGCCGAGTTCAAAAGATTCTCCTGCCTCAGCCACCTGAGTAGCTAGGATCACAGGCATGCGCCACCAATCCCAGTGAATTTTTGTATTTTTAGTAGAGATGGGGTTTCGCCACGTTGGACAGGCTGGTCTCGAACTCCTGACCTCAGATGATCTGCCCGCCTTGGCCTCTCAAAGTGCTGGAATTACAGATGTGAGACACCATGGCCAGCTTAATTTTACTTTTAATTTTTTTTTTTTTTTTTTTTTAGAGACAGAGGTCTCACCATGTTGCCTAGGTAGTCTCAAACTTCTGGCCTCAGGTGATCCTCCCACCTCAGCCTTTCAAAGTGCTGGGATTATAGGCGTGAGCCACTGTGCCTGGCCTGAATTATTTTTTATTAATGTAGTATGAACCTACAGTTACTTTAATTTTAAAAAAATCTGTATGTCCACAAATAGATTTTATTGTACTTTATAAAAAGTCCGGAACAAGACAAAGATGCCCATGATGACATTGTTCAACAATATCCCATAGGCCATAGCCAATGTAAGATTAACTGTAAAAGCAAAACAAATATTACTGGATAACATGACTGTCAATCTAGAATACAGAAGAATCAATCAAAAAACCCAAGATTAATAGGATTCAGAAAGGCAGCTGGATACAAAACTAATATCAGAAAATCAGTGGCTTTCCTATACGACAGGGCATGTCCTCCTCATTTTTTTGCCACCATATATTTTTCTGTTGCCAGACAATTTATCCTTTGCCAACATTAGAGGCTGGGCACAATAGCTCACACCTGTAATCCCAGCATTTTGGGAGGCCAAGACAGGAGGATCACTTGGGCCTAGGTGTTCAAAATCAGCCTAGGCAACAAAGCAAGACCCTGACTCAATTTTTTGAAAAATATTTTTTTAAAAAAGGGCCAGGCGCAGCAGCTCATACCTGTAATCCCAGCACTTTGAGAGGCCGAGGCAGGTGGATCACCTGAGGTCAGGAGCTTGAGACCAGCCTGACCAACATGATGAAACCCGGTCTCTACTAAAAATACAAAATTAGCCAGGCATCATGGCTGATGTAATCCCGGCTACTCGGGAGGCTAAGGCAGGTGAATTGCTTGAACCGGGAGGTGGAGGTTGCGGTGAGCCGAGATTGCGCCAATGCACTCCAGCCTGAGCAACAAGAACGAAATCCAAAAAAAAAAAAGAAGAAGGAGGTAGAGAAGTAAAGATATGGAGTTAGTGTGTTAAGAAAAATGGATAAAACACTGCAAGAGGCTTGTTAAAAACAGCACAAAATATCAGCTTCATCTCCTCCGTGCATATTAGCTTTTGGAAATAGAGCAGCAGGCACCACTGGCTTGGAATGGAGAGAGGCAGGTTCCATCTGCCATATCAACACAGTCCTTGCCCATGAGACCTCTTCATTGCCAAACAGACATACACACACAGGGATCTTCCTTACCATCTTGCCGCTGACCGTGGCCTCCAGAGAATCCACCAGCTCTGCTGTGACTCCAATGAGATTGTGGTAGTCCACCTGGATCTTATTGTACCGTTTGAGGTATGTCATTGACCTACGTTCAGCTTCAACCAGCTGCTGGTGGAGCTGATGCAACGTTTCTAGGAAGACAGTTAAACAAGCAACATCAATAAAAACCCACAATATGAAAAATAATTGTCTTCTTCTCAAAGAACTACCATACTTACTGTCCGAATATTTTGTTGTAACAATAAAGTTGACACTATTTGTTTCACACTTACTTCTATTTTATGCCACATTTATTTACGTAGTGCTTTGTAACCATTGACTTAAAATTTCCTTTTCAGGAAGTTCAACTCAATCCTCACTGGGTTTCCCAAGAAAATCTATTCCTTTGACTGAACCTCATTTAATTTCTTTTAGTTCTTCTATGTCTAAGAAAATAAACATAGAAGGGCCGTGGTGGCTCATATCTGTAATCCCAACACTTTGGAAGGCCAAGGAGGGCAGATTACTTGAAGCCAGGAGTTGGAGAACAGCCTGGGCAACATGGTAAAACCCCGTTTCTACTAAAAAAATACAAAAATTTGCCAGGCATGGTGGTGCTCGCCTGTAATCCCAGCTGCTCAAGAGGCTGAGGCACAAGAATCACCTCAACCTGGGAGGCAGTGGTTACAGTGAGCCGAGATTGCGCCACTGGACTCCAGCCTGGGCAACTGGACAACAGAGTAAGACTCTGTCCTCCTCCCCCCCAAAAAAAAAAGAAAGAAAGAAAGGAAAAAGAAAATAAACACTTTATTCTAAATAAACTGAGCTCATAAAATGCCTGAATCAAACCTGTATTTTTTTCTGTTTTTCTACTATGTAGTTTTCTGGGAGACAATTCATATCTGCAGGACAGTTCTTTATTTTAAATAAAACTTTAGGCTGCTTGACTCATGCTAGGAAAAACAAGAATCCAGAAGGAGAAAAGATTCCATCATTCTGCCAGTTTGGTAAAGCATAAGACCACTCCCACCAGGCGTTAGAGCAAGCAGCTTGGAAGGCTCTAGGATTCTGTATTTGGAATCTCCTGGAGGGCAGCCCTGAAGACACTGAGGCCACGCCTCCCTAGTGGCAGCAGGAACAGGTGAATCCTCATTGGTGTTGGCACTTGTTTGCCTGTACCACCTTCCCTTTCTTGAAGGTCACATTTTGGACAAAAGGAGGTAACGCTACCCCCAAACTCAGAGTAACTCACTCTTGTCCTGATCCAAGTATTGTATCATATTTGAAGTGTTCAAAATGAACAGGTTTCAAGGATATGAAGAGATATTTTAAAATTATGAAGACCTGGGCTCAAATCCCTACTCTACTTTTTTGTTGGGTAACCACAGACAAAATATTTAACTCTGTGATTCTCATTTCTTAACCTATAAAATGGGGGCAGTTATAATTACCTTGATGGGTTATTGTGAAGATTAAATTTAAAAAATACATTCAGCCGGGCGCGGTGGCTCACGCCTGTAATCCCAGCACTTTGGGAGGCCGAGGCGGGTGGATCACGAGGTCAAGAGATCGAGACCATCCTGGTCAACACGGTGAAGCCCCGTCTCTACTAAAAATACAAGAAATTAGCTGGGCATGGTGGTGCATGCCTGTAATCCCAGCTACTCAGGAGGCTGAGGCAGGAGAATTGCCTGAACCCGGGAGGTGGAGGTTGCGGTGAGCCGAGATCGCGCCATTGCACTCCAGCCTGGGTAACAAGAG